CAAAGCGAATTGCCGAAACCGCGTTCGGCAGTCGTTCCGTTTCTCCTTCGTGCTTTCCACCGCAAAACCCCCAAAGCTCCAAATCTCCCCAACGCCGGCCTGACAAAATAAAAACGTGCCACTTTCCGAATACGCTAGAATGTTCCGAGATTTGAGAAAGCGACAGTCAGAAACAAAGGACGCAGAGAGAAGAGCAAGAAGCGGGTCTCGCGAATAAGGCTGCGACCGAAAAGAAAATAAGGCTCCATAAGCAGCAAAAGGGACGTTCGAGAAAACGCTCGCCAGAAACGCCCGCAGCTGTCGCTGCCCCGACGCACTCGCCTTCGGCATGCAAAATCAAAAGGGTTCCTTTCACTGGAAACCATGAAACGTCGCAACTAAACTTATGAGCCAAAGCGAAACAAAAACGCTTACGCGCCCGTGAAGAAGGCGGAGGGATTTTAAACAAAGATATCCCCGGTTGAGAGGGTAGGTAAGGATGGGGGCGTTCCCACCGCGACCGGCGCACAAGAAGGGGCAGAAATGGCCGCACACTCTTCAGCCAATCCCGGTCGGAATCCGTTTTAGAAAGGAGAAGGACCTGACATGGAAGAAGCAACTTTTCAACAACGGGCCCGAGTTGGTTTTTTGTTTGGTTTCGTTTCTCTTTGTGACGCTTTTTCTTACGCTATTTTTTTTTTTTATCGGTTCTGTTCTGAATTTGCTTTCCATTCCCCCCAAAAAATAATAAAGAATCTTGAAGGGGGACAGCCAAGCTGGCATGCCCTTCTCCGCCTCCAGTGTCGGCCATCCTTCCTGGCTTCCGGAGGCATCGGTGGCGTCCCGAGGCGCCGCTGTGCCCGCGCATCCATCACGCGAACCCCGGCCGAATCCTCCGGTGAGGATCTGCTTCGCCTCCCGGCGCTCGTCGCTCTGCCGCTTCGCTGCCGAGCGACGCAGTCGGGCAGCCCTCTCGCGTGCACCCCACTGCAGCGTCTTCCTTGGGACCCTGCTTACCTCCGCATTCCTGCCGTTCTCACCGCTGTCCCTCTCTCCCGAACCTTTCACTCTCGCAGCACGTACACACGGCCGTCCGTCGTGACGCCGTCGTCGTGCCGACCTCCGCCGGCAGACGAGAACCTCGCGTGCGGCGGGGCGGTCGAGACGGACGCAGCAGCGCAGACCGACGCACGCATCGCGTGCCTCGGTCCACTGAGCGAGACGCGCCTTCTTCCACGTTTCGGGAGGATCTCGGCTCCAACAATTCGGTAGCGGCGGACAAAGATCGCCCGCCGTAAGAAGAGTTGCGCGCACGCAGAGAAAACAGCTCCATCCTCCGCGAAAAAATAAAACTCGCACAGTGCAAGAGGTCAACGACCAGTCTCCTATTGTATCTCGTACGAGCGCTACAGGATATGACGCCATCCGACTCGCGATGTACCACAGCTCATCCTCGTGGTCAGAAAACTCTGCCCCGGCGAGCCTAGACCTGGCGATCTAACTCGAGGTACCACCAGACATGCACAGGTTAGCCCAAAAAGTAACTATACCGTTACTCCCTCAAAAAGAACTAAATAGTTACTCGTTACCGATGCTAAAAAGGAACGCGTTACTTTACCTCTAACGTAACGAGTCACCTTTCTCGTTACTCTGACACAACTGTTTTTGTTTTATGGTTTATTGCTTTCCTTTTCAGTACTCGTTGCACTTAAACAGTAGCTGCCTCTCAAAGTTTTCATTAGTTATCTTTCCCCGCTTCATTGAGAATACACCTTCGGCGACACTGAAGAGTCGTTCTATGAAGCGCTCGAAGGAAAGCGTGTGTTGTGCTCCAAGAGGAGCTGGTGAATCTGTAATTTCCCCCCGTGTTTTCCTCTTTCTGCTTCTAAAGTTCCAAGTTGACAATGGATTCTGTCCCTCCCCGCCATGGCAACCCCCGAGTTTACATTCGGTCTGTACACGATTCTAGATGGTTCAACCAAATATAAGAAAGGATACAAAATATCCTTTGTTATACCCGGTGATTTTTTTTTTTTTTTTTTTTAAATTCGAGCAGATTTATTACAAGAAATTCGTAAAGATGAACTAATACGGTTAGTGCAGGTGAGGTATACGGCAAGGGGGACATTATGTGGGTGGCTAATGTTTGCGATAAGTCGGCTAATTAATTAAAATTCGTTAATTAACTTTTTAATTAGTGAAAATAAACATATGGTTCCAATTACATACTTAAAGAGCGTTATTAAAAGCCACTCAATGAACTCTTTTAAAAACGACTTAAGCTCGCGGGAAACTCGGGGGCGCGCCAAAGTTACCACTCGTGAACCAGGCGCAAAGCTAGCAGCGGCAAAACGCGGATGATTAGATCACTATCGCGTTCCGTCACTGCCGTAAACTCACCAGCACAAACCGCATTAGTGCATCTATTACGGACTTTTTTGTAATTAATCTGTTCGAATTAAAAAAAAAATCACCCTGTATGATTATTTTTTTGAGTATAAAAAGAGTAATCGAGCGTTTGAGTACAAGTACTAGGGCGTCACGCTAACTGGCAATGTAAGCTCGACGAAACATATTGATATAATATGCTCTAAGGCAGTGGTTCTCAACCATCGATGTTTCGCGGACCCTTTGTGGATCGGCGGAGGTGATGGAGGACCCCGTTCGTGGTGAGAGGAGAGGAAAGGTATAGGTTAAATATAATAATGATTTAATTAATGGATATAACTAAGCTGCAGTGTGAATTAGACCTCACTTATTCACATACACACCAGAAAACTCGCCCGAAAACTGAAACATTTCGTCTTAAACTGAAAAAAGACAACTTTTATTGCCGGGCTTGACTGATGAGGCAGGGCTTCGCGGACCCCTAGATTGCTCTCGCGGACCCCAAAAGGTCCGCGGACCCCCGTTTGAGAACCACTGCTCTAAGGCATTACGGCGCCTAGAATACCCGATGAGAACGCTCAGGCCTGCTTCTAAACAAAGTCGTTAGCGTACAGTGCATTAGTTCGACCCCTTCTCAAATGCTGTTTTGTCGTTTGGCATGCGCACATATGATAGGTGACCTAAATAAACTGGAAGTCGCCCAGAGACGTGCAGTACGTTTCATTCGTAATCAGTATGGTCGTGGTTTTTCCCCATCATTTGAAAGGGAACAACCAAGCCTTCAGCTGCTCTGGTCTAGGCGAGTCGCAGACCGCTGAAAAATGTTCTATCAGATTGTAAGAAATAATTATTGCATCCCTTTTTCCCGTTAGTTGTCATTTAAAGAATCACGTTCGAGTAGAAGTTGCCATCACCTCAACATTGTCCCATACTTCTGTTCACTGAACCGTTTTAGATACTTTTTTTTTTTTCTTTCCCCGACTGTTTTGAATTTTGGAATAAACTCCCGGGAAGTGTTAGAGAGCTCGAGCTGGGAAACTTTGTTTGTAAGATTAACGGCATATTGTGAAATATGTTCGATGCTTCTGTTGTGCTGGTACCAATGCTGTTGAAATAATGCTTTTATCCCGTTGTATGTGTTTGTGTGAGCAGAGGCCCCATCTACCTCACTGTTTGTACTGAGGACGATAGTGCTTTCTGCCCCACCCCTGCTATAAACTCGTAAAAGGGTGGAGGTACTTAAAAATAAAATAAAAATAAAACTTGTTACTAGTAACGCATTACGTACGTGTCTGGGTACCGCCCACGTAAGTCCCTACGGGCACCGAACAAGTCCACAAAGCACGGCCGACTCCTGGCGTTTCACCTGACCACCCCCCCCCCCCCCCCCCCCTTCATTCGATGCGCAAACAAAGTGCAGTGGTCGAAAGAATAGCGGCGAAATTCATCCTGCAACCGCTGGTCGACCACTGGCACTGAACTCGGTGCATGAATGGGTGATTGTGCTATAGTCCCAAACTCGCAAATACCTCACAAGCGCAAGTCCCAAATCGAGGGTAGGTTCACAGCACCAGAGCCGCAGTGAAGCTTCACTGTTCAAACCAGTTAAAGGGAAGCTACGGAGCTTCTTGAAAAAAATGAGTTAGAAGTGAATTCTAGCGTATTTTTACCTTGTGAACCCGAATACCAAAACCATTTGCCGCGCAAGTATTGTTAAACACGAGAAAAACGCGAAAGACAGTCGCTGTCCGTGACGTCATCGACGGATCTTTTGGCTTGCCAAGGCTAGGGAGGCGGGGCTTCAGCCCTATTTTCAAATTGCTCTTATGGCTCTCCGGCGCGTCGCATTGAAATATAATTGTGATATCTGTTATTCTAAAGGCCAAATGAACACAATTCAAGCGTTTTTTCTCAAATGCAGAAGTGCCCCATCTTCCCTTTTTAACGGTTAGCTGGAGCGGAATAGCGAAAGCTGCGACCGGAGTCTCCGCCGGCGTGACGCCAAGCGAAACGTGGCACTGGGTTTCGGGCACTCGGCGTCGTCAGATGGAGGGGGCGGGGAAAGTCGCCCGGGCGGCACTCCCATCCGGGACGGAAAAAAGCGGACGGAAGCGACTCGGAGCCTCTTACTGGCGAGGAGTAGCTCCTCGGCGTCTAACGCGCTCGCCCAGAACCGAGCACCTAATAACCGGATGAAACATACGCGCCTGATTATTAAGAAAAAAAGGAAGAAAAAAGATCCGGGTTAATGCACGACTGCAAGACGGATGTGGGAGGATTACAAATTCCAAAAAGCGCGCATTCCTGACGATAACGCTGGCTTTCTTTCTATGTTCGTTTTATCAGCAATGGCGACACATCTAACGAAAAGCGGTCTTAAATTTGCCCACAGCGGGACCACACACTTAGATGTCTCGAAGGAGAAGGAAAGCTGGCCGACGAAGAGGTATGAAACTTTTCAGAAGTACGTTGTAGGGGGACAGCGTCAGACGGATTGACCGAACACTTGGATGCTTCGTTCCTTAGGAAGTTGGAGGCTCCGAAGCGCCTGCTGCTCTTTTCTCTCCGTACAACATATCGCGTGCGCGACCGCACGCAAGGCGGCTGTTCCCAGAAAAGCGCGTGGCGCTCACCTTGCGTTCGGTCATGACGTAGAGGTGCTCGCCGTTCTTGTCCAACAGCATGTCCGGGTTGACCGGCTTGCCTTCCTCGATGGCTGCGTCATTGTACTCGAAGGCGCTCGTCACGGACTCCACCACGGCCTGCAACGACAAGAAGCGCAGAGACGGTCAGAAAGAAGGACGCCGCACTCGAATGGGAAATGGCCAGCTGGGATGATTCCAGAGTTGATCGAATCAATGAGGCGGTCAATGTGAAATGCACCACCTTGGGACGGCAGTCCGCGGCAAGCGGGGAATCGACGACTGAGTGGGAGCCGGAAGACTTGTCATAGCAGCAGGCAACCTTTTCTACCTTGGACACGTTTCTACCATGGTCGCCCGCCCCATCACTCCCGTGGTCATCACGATGAGGCACAGGGTCGCAGGTCAATTATTATTATTAATTATTATGATTAAATCGCGTCTTTCGTTTCCAATGAATCTCTAAGACAGAGGAACTTCAGAAATGCCAGAAGCGCCCTACGGCGACTGTCGGATTCGGGGCGTTAGTACCACATCGTGCACCACCTGACGATCTAACAATCTAAGTGTTTCCTCGAAAACAATCGTGCAATACGCCCACAAGGCCCACGAACTACTTTTTCGGGGCATCTCGGAGCGCGTGCAACCACCACTTCCGAGAGGGAGAAAAATAAAGCAACCCGGGGAACAAATGTGTTCTGGATGCACGGAGCGGTCGGCGGAGAAACCAACTGTCAAACGACGTAGAGCGTGACCGTTTTACATCGAGCGCAACGTGCGACCGAAACGGGGCAGCCCGTCTACTCCGATGACGCCGAGCAACCGTCATGCTAGAGAAGCCAAAGGGTCACAGAGTCTTCCCCGAAGCGGGGGCCGAGGCTTTTTTGCGCTCCTACATGTTTCGAACAAGTCGGAACGGCGTCACGTTCGCTCATAAGATACAGGGCGAGTGCGCGTACACTAGGTCGAAAATAAGTTCCGAAACCATGGACTTGGAACACTATACACCTCCAAGTTTCAAAATACCCATTCGAAGACTTAGAACATCGAATAAAATGCCGAAATGTTTACGTTCGAGCTTTTTCCGCCTTTTTCTGCATCTTCTTTTCGTGTAAAGAGCCGTCGAAAGAAGAGCTGGGACAGGGAACTTGAGCGCCAGAGAAATTTTGAAAGTTCAACAAAATAGCTTCATTAAAAAAAAAAAAGAGTTTAAAACATGCACGCTTGTCCATCGCCGTTACAAGTTCCGGCCCATTCGCACAGTACCGTTCGACTACATTTTCTTGCGTTAAGTTGTGAAACAAGGACGAGTCAACGGGACATCCGTAAGTGCTCAACGAGAGAAAATGCACCAGCGGAGTGCACGCAGCGATGCCCAGGTGTAACCAAACGGCGGCCGAAGCCATACGGTTACTCTAAGGTGGAGTAACTGTATACGCCAGCTGTACACTTACTACAGTCGTAGCATATTCAGTTACTATCGAGAGGCCACGCACTCCGACGATCCATTTCGTTTCGCTGAGCACTGTACAAAGGTATCCCTCGAACTGGTTGCTGCGCTTCGTACGAAGCATGGGTGTCCCGGGAACACGGTACTCTAACGTAGTCGAACGTATTGTGTGAATCAGGCACGCAGCCACGATTTTGTTGCCGGGGGGGGGGGGGGCGTCCATGACAAAATTCTGTGTGAGGGGGAGGGGGAAGGAGGTCCCAACAAAATTGAAGTTTTTTTTTTTTTTTTTTTTTTTTTTTTGTTGGGGGGGGGGGGGGGGGAGTTTGGGCTCCATGCCACCCCCTTGGCTACGTGGCCTGATGTGAATGAGCCTTTAACGTCTATTCACACGATGCATCTTGTTGGCGAATCTTGTGCCGCGAAGCTGAGTTTCAGGAAACAGTCTGAACGCGACCGAAAAAGTGGCGCGCCTCCGAAAGAAGTGGCGCGTGTTCCTCACTTCTGGAGCAATTTTTTGCTGAAACCTCACCGAGGCCTGTCAATCACCCGAAGGAGAAACGCGGACGCTGCCAATGGCCGCTCGACTTGGCTGTGACGTCTGATCTTCGAGGCGGAGCAAGCTTTTGGAGGAATCTGATTTTCGGAGCTGATTCCGTATCCAAATCAAAGCCGAAAAAAAAAAAAAAAAAAAAACATGGCGAGCGACAAGCGGAGAAGCGGTGCGTACGGGTCCTACTCGGTTAAAAGTGTGAACGGCGCTTAGCAGTACGGGTTGGTTGCGCGTTGCAGATTCATCAACAGCCGCGACGAGTGCAAGCGCCGCGTATAAATATGATAACTGGGGATAACTTTCGTTATTACCGGGGCAAAAATGTCCGAAATGCTTCGAGATCATCCGCCTGCTCCTTGACGTTCGCGGTCTTTCCGGGGTTTGGTAGGACTAGTAAACCCAGTGAGCCGAATCTGACGAAGTGCGTGGTATTAATAAAATAGACTGTCTCTTCACCCTGTGCGTACTTCATATCATTTTGATGCGAAACGCTTGGTATTCCCGGTGCAGATGACAAGGTTTGGCGAAATTCTCGTGAGTCAATACGTCACAGGTTTCGCGCGTCAAACTTCACTTCTGAACGGGCCGATTTCGCGAAATCTTGGTTTCGGTAAACTGTGGCGCGTTGAAAAGATGCATCGTGTGAATAAGCCTTTACTGTATGTATAGCTCAACGCGGCCCAAAGCCTCGTATTATTCTAATTTCGTTACGTTAGGGGAGCGGTACGCTCCAGTACCGGATAGCGAAGCACAATATCCGATTTCAATATCCGCACAATCCAAGCAAACGGCAGCACAGGCGACACGTGCAACGGCTATCCCTCCGAGAAAGGTGTCTTTCACAGGGCCCGCGGACCTCCCCACACGTCCGTCTCGAGCGAGCCCGGGGCCCGAGACGGCGCTGCGCGAACCCCGCCGCTGTGGCGCCCAAACCGGGGTGTCCGTAATCGGGGATCAATATGCGCCGGCCGGCCGCCGCAGGAAAGGGGGCACACCGGTCACGTCGTCGAGCGGCCGGACCCGCTCCTGCATTAAACATGCTCGGCGGTGCATGACAAGCGACGGGACCGGCCGCCGCGAGGTGCCGACGCCGCTTCTTCCTCCTGGGGGCTGATGGCAGACGCCGGAACTTTCCTTGCCGCGCTGCTTTTGTCTCGGATGGGATCGCGTATTGCATTTTGCTGGAACGATCGTCGGCGCCCGCCAGCGAGGTGCGCATATTACTGCCGTCGTTCTCCGATATCGACGAAACGATTTTGAGTGAACGACGTCTTCGTTTGCTCGTTTTGTACGGGTGACTGTGTACGGTCGACGATCGAAGAGTCGCCCTAGAGCCCGTTGCTGCCGTGCGTGTGTTCCCAATGCATTGTTGACGAAAATGGAATGATGAATAGGCGGAAGAACCTATCTTCCTGGCGTAGGCAAGTCAGAGACGATAACGACCGGCATTAGGTATTAAGAAGAAAATAAACTCGAATATCGATAGAAAATATATACATCAAGTCGGTCTCCTTTAGAGTGCTCACACACGACTACATTTGGTGAACGTCGGTAGTCCGGAAGTGTGGGAATTGCGTGAGCCTCGAGTGACATCGTGAATTGGTATTGAGCGTCGTCACCCCACGCTTCACCCAGCTACAATTCGGTGCCAGATTAGCAGGCATACACAATCATCGTTACACACAGCACCACACCACTGCGATGGTCTCAGTCTCAACAAAAGCAGATGCCTATCTACAGAAAACACCGTATGTATCGTCATAAATGCCAGAAACGTTTGACGAGAGCGCACCAGAGGAACGGTCTCAACGAGGGCAGATACTGTATTCCTATAGAAAAGACCCTCCTTAACTATTTGAGTTTGGACGGAGCATCCCAATGTTAGATAACTTTTCCATAAAGTTACTCCCAATGGAACGTCGCGGTGTCAACTTCGGACCAAACGTCGTTCTCCAAAACAATAACAACGGTGTTCTAATGTAGCGCGAGGCCTCGAAGACGACTAGACTGCCAGATGATGATGACCGTTAGGACGTCAGTGGCGCAGCAGCAGCAACTCCAGACTGCCAGACAAACGTTCACGAAGCCTCTACCAGCTTCGGGAAATCTTGGACAATCCAAAGTACCAGACGACGTGCCAAGAGCGCCGCTCGCTCTCCGTAAACGCGAACGTTACGGGTCGCGTGCAAGAGGACGCTCGAGTTGAAACTTACGCGCAACCAGACACGCGAGCAATAATCGTGCAAGCGTTCACGAACCAAAGCGCGAAAGTACCACGTCCAAGTAAAACAAGCTGGGAATAAAGTTTAAAAAAAAAATCATAAACGCGTCAACTTCCCCGAATAATTCAGAAAGAGGGGTAAAACGAATAAGCGGCAGTGAGTCGCGATCGCAAATGGTGGCGGGCGTTACTAAGAGGCCGTGGCACGTTCGCCCAAAAGGCGTATTCCTCGAGAGGAGAGCGCGAATACGACGACGATGTACCGGGGGCGCGACGGGTGTGGCAGGCGGCCGAGAGCGGGCCCATGACAGGTGGAAACCCCAGGCGCGAGCTTCCCGTGCAATTGCGGGGCATTAGCGGACCGGTTCTTTCCCTTGCCCCAGGGCGCGAGCACGGGCACGCCAGGGGCGGACCACGGTGTGCGTTTGCCCGGCCTTCCGTCTCATGGGCGACGGTGCCGTTCGCGCGTGCCCGCAGCCAGTCATCGCCGCCGATGGATGGCTGCGACTCTCGAGCGCTGCTCACGCGATCGCTCGGCTGCGACGCGGGGAACGGGCGCGCGAAAAAAAAAACACCGAGTCAATCCCCCCCTTTCCCTCTTTTTTTTTTTTTTTTTTCCTTTCCTTTAGGTGACACGTTTGCATTGAGAGAGCCATTTCGTTCTACTTCGAAGGCGGAAAGAAGAACCGAATTAATTACAGAAGGAAAGGATGCGTCTTGGGCGTGTTTCTACTACTTTGTTTTGGGGGAAGCGCGACACGATAAATTAAACGAAATATGAGCAATGTCGAAAGAAAACAAGGAAACATGGACAGCTCATCTTAAAGGTGCCCTGAGGAGGTTTCTGAGATGGCCTAAATATGGCGATAGCTCACTCTGCGGGTCCTTTAAGCATC